ATATATATATATATGTAGCCGGGCACTGGTAACGAAAAAGCGGATAAATATTGTTCCTATGTATAGTAAATTACTTCCTTTTACACGCTGTGTAGTCAGTCAGACTCCTCGTTTTGTGGGTCCGTGATACCGAAAAATTGATTGACGACAAAACATGTCTGTTCGTCTGTGGTCAACTTTTCAGGCGATTTTCTCCAAAATTGATATTCCGCGTCGAAAATGATCGGCCCAAATCAGTCATGGAATCTGAGTTGACTTGGAAATGTTTTAGCTTTACGTAATATCATTTACTTGAGACGTAAACCAAACGTGTCAACAATTATTCGGAAGCAGGTTAAATCACGCTCTAGTTTGCAAATCCTCTACACAATATCTGAAACATTTTAGGGAGCTCTCGGTCGAGAATCGCTGTTGGTTAACATGCTGACTTTCAAAGACATCAGCTTGACATATCCTCGTTCTGATCGTTGTAGGCACGTAACCCCGACGACATTGCGTCGTTGTCATTGTCAGTTTCTTTGCAGCTTTTTGCTACTCTAATCTGCTATCGATATTAGGTTTGAGGACTGCCATTACTTGTGAATGCGTCTATTCAACTTTGAACGACTCGCCATATCTTTTTCAATACATACTACGAGTTCAATAGCAAATTAACTGAAAATTGTTTCCTCCCAGACAAGAAGGAATTCCTTTTTATCTCACAATGCTAAGCGGCAGACGTTATTGCGTTTGTCTGGATTCCTCAGCAGTAGATAGTAGTTGATCGTCCTCTTCGTGAACGCACGTGAACTAATAGACCAGTTTCCCCAATATTCACTTGAGACATCGGTTTATCATCATTTTACAGTATGTTCTTAGTTCTTCCCACAAGGAGACGAATAAAAAAATATCATTGTTAAATCTCTTTTTAGTAGGCCCAATTACAAGCTGTAAACGAAAAGCAATAAAAACTAGTGATGCAACATGACGAATATAGTGTGTGTATGTATTTGTATGTATGAGAGAAAATAATACTAATAGCGCTAAACAGCAGCGGCAACTTGTGCATGGGGTTCAGTAAACTCCTATACAATTCTGCCAGAATTTTTTTAAACTTTTAGTTACATTAAGTATGAAATACATTTCGACATTAGTCGGTCCTTTCAGCACAAAATGTGATCAGTTGTTTAGTTGACATCGCGACGGTACGACGCCCCGCGTCACGTGTTCTGAGGTTCAGAATCCGAAGAGACCCCCCAGCGTGCGGCATGAAATGAGGGCTAAGTGAGGAGGGAAGCTAGAGGAGAAGACATTGAATTGAATTTGCCTTATTTTACATGGCGAGACTCGGGCCATCAGGCCCGCTCTTCCGTCTGACCACGCAAATTTTGCTACGCTCCTTTCACCAACTAGGAGAGAAAGGAGGTATTTCTTGGGCGAGAAACAGGCGATTTTGAATTTAGCTCAGAGGCGTCATTTAGGCTTGAGGATCTTTTACATGCAAGTAAATCTACAAACATGGGACAGCCAGCTTTACTTCCCCTCCGAAAGGAAGGCGTTTTTCGCCCTTAAAAATCCACGGCTTCGAGCCACGGTTTGAACCCGCCAACTTGGGTACAACAGTCCAGTACGCTAACCGTTACACCATCGCCGCCGCATACACCATGACCGACGCGGTGGCGGGTGACATGGCGACTACATAGGCAGAGGAATAAGTTTCCCGACAATATCACCATCCTCTAAGCCTAACGGAGGGTGACGGAAATACACGGGCACAATCAGGACAGGAAATACATCGGACCAGGGAAATCCCAGATTCTTTCTTCGCCGAAGGCAAAATTGTACCAATCTAGTACCAGGTTTCTATATTTTCTTAATACCCATGTACAGAAACTTCTGCAATTATTGATTCGGAATCGTTTAAAATAATTAATCCTCAATCCTTCAGGCACAATGCGATAACGCAGAGGCTCGCCGTTTGAAGTTAGGATCCAACATAATAGTTATTTATGCACCAAGGGCGTTTTAAGGGATCTAACAATCGAGCGGCGACAAAATGCCCGAAGGCCTTTGGCCTGAAGGTTTCTTTGTCGCCCGAGATCATTAGAACCAGTCAATCCCCGTGTTACGTACATAATTTTATTTTTTACCTAATTTTATCGATTCAGATTTACTAATTAACTAGATGTTAACTTGGTTCTGTTTGTCTTTTCATATTTCTCTTCCATAATTTCCTTTCATAATTCTCTCCATAAGGAAACACGTTCAACTGTTTTTACATTTGCCTCGCATCCACAACCTTTTCGATCCAGGTAAGTTATGCAATGTATATCGAGCTCCGAAGGCAATAACAAGCTATAACGTACCAGTAAAAAATAAAAGTATTTTCATTCTGAAAACAAAGATTTTCGAAGGGCGGTGTGTTCGCACGGTTCCAGCTAGCTGTAATTTCATGCATTTGTGGTTGCAAATGCTTCCAATTTCATGCGGGAGAATAAGAATTTTCTCCAAACCTCAAAAAGTTTCCATCGAATACCGGCTTGGCATCCGCTGCCACCGCAGCGTCGCTGATCGGGAGGTCCTAAGGTTCTTGTTCCAGAGATGGCGGATTTTTCATACTAGCTATATAACTAGGTCGGCTTCAGCGACTTTGTAATCCTAGCGGCCGACTACTCTGCTCGGTAGTTTTCTACGGGTTCCATGATCAATGGCGAATGCCGAAGCCGATGGGTCTCTGACCGCACGCGATCTTCCCTTCCTCACCCTTGTGCTCTCCTCTCCCCTTACACGCAACACAACACACACACATTTACACGCACTACACTACCACACATTGCAGGAGACCAGTTGTGTGCTTAGAGCTGGTCCCGGATGGGGGAGCGCCCCGCTGAGAGGAGATATCTGGAAAGTGAAACCCGTCGACGTGTATGTCGCTGTTGGATCTCACGTGCCAGCGGGGAAGAATCAACCCAAACTCTGGGGTTACAACATGCACTACACGGGACCACAATAGTTGTCGCGCCCGGAAACACTAATTACTTACTAACCCAATCAAAAGTTTACAAGTAAATCTCTTCTTTACATCCTTACTTACTTCCTTACATCAGTAATAACAGTGTATGGGTTCGATAGCAGTGATTGTTAGTCTACATTACCCAAAAAAGCATTTCAAATACCAGGACTGGCACCATTACTTTTTTCTTGAAACATTTTGTAAGCAGCACAAACACAATACAATCTCAGAAATGTCATTTTAATTAAAGCTATTAAATTTCAGAAATTAAAATGATATTTTTCGAATCCCCTGCACTTCGTTTGTATAACAGGTTTCTCAAGGGATGTCTGAAGTACTCGCAGGATACAACATGCAATATTCTAATATGACGTAATCGTTACAAATAAGAGCAGAAAGTACATGATATTTGGCACCACTATAGAATATCTCGACAGAATTCTATATATTGCAATATGGCGTCAGTGGACAACAGCGTTGCCCGACTTCCGATACCACGCGACGCAAGGCGAACAGGTTCTCAACGCTCCAACACACTGCATACATTTCATCACTCAATTAATTAACTTTTACAATACTAGCGTCCTGCAACAAAAATGCTGATGAACAATACCACACAAAATTGTTTTCCAAAAAGGAGCACGCACACTGCTCAAAAACGAATATTGTCGCAGAACACTGCAATATATTTTTTTTGAAAGTAGCTTAGATAGTATCCATCCTTTCTGTAATGACAACAGTTCAATGTACAACAGTTCATTTTTTTCTGAATGTTATCATGTGAATAGTTTTCTGAGCCTCGAGCAATTTGAGATGTCTTCTTGCCCTGCTAATATTTGCAATCAGTCAATTGTTAACTAGCATTTGTATACACTTGCGTGACAGAACGATCATTACAAACGTATTTCTTCTAGCAACGAAGCCAACGAAGCTAGAACACAGCAATGTGATCTAATGCTCGGCATACTCTCGACCATAACTATTCCGTGAATACGAATAATGAAATTGCAACAAGAGACAAAATGTGCATCATAATTGAGCGGGAACGTTACAAAATCGTTTCTTAAGGAAAAATAACACCCAGCAATTTCGTAACAAAAACGTTTCGATCCTTGTTGACTGTTGAGCGGTTGCCCAGACACCTAAAATGCGAGATTATGAAGAAAACAGTTTTGCCAAGTATCGAGGTAGGATTATATGTTTTAGACATTAGTAATACTATTGTTGAGGATCTTTCTTACTATTGCACATGTGTTGAGGATGACAACTTTCTGTAATTCCATGTACAATGTTTTCGCCATTTTTAACTGTTGAAGACTGTTATGAATAGTTATTGGGATGACCCCAGTTGCGGACACAATGATGGGTATCGTTTAAGCTTTCTCAATTTTTCTCTGTTCTTTTATTTCTATTGCTAAATCAGTGTTCGTGGAAACTTTTTCTGCGTGGAAGGCCTGAAGGTTGTGTGTTTGGGGATGCGATACCTATTAAGTAAGTGTTCTTGTTGTTATTATTGTTATTGTTATTATTA